TCTGGACCGCGAGCTCACGGGTAGGGGCGAGGATCAGGACAATGGGGCCATCGCCGGGGGCCAGCAGAGGCTGGGCGTTGATGTGGACGATGGCGGGAAGGCAGTAGGTAAGCGTCTTTCCGGAACCAGTCTCGGCAATACCGACGACGTCGCGACCGGAGAGAGCCATGGGCCAACCCTGGGACTGAATGGCAGTAGGAGCGGGGAAGCCCTGAGCCTTGACCTCGTCCATGACATATCTGGGGAAACCAGCCTCGTCGAAGGTCTCGACGGGCTTGGGGACATCGTTGCCAGCAATGGCAATCTGGTGCTTGCGACGGAAGGACTCGACATCCTCTGAGCTGCGGTTGGCCACCTCCTCGTGCTCCTTGTAGAAAGACTTCTCGAACTTGGGCATCGTGGAAAGATCTGTGCAAGAAAAAAAGTCAGTAAACGCGTTGCTGGTGTATACTGTCGTGAATCAACTAACCCCATTCTTGTGTGCGAAGACCAGCGCCAAGGTTGTTCATGCGGTCACCACCACCGCCGAAACCACCACCGCCGCCGTAGCCGCCACCACCGTATCCGTTGCTATCACTGACCAGTTAGCAATAATGTTGACGACAGAATCAAAAAAAAAGTTATTAGATGCTGAAGCTGGCGTTGGTGTCGTTTTGAGAAACCACGCTCCAGATTCGGGAAAAAGCATCGTGGCACTACGAGCGGTGTCGCGCCAAGGCAACAGCCGCCTCGTGAGCCCGGCCGACGTGTTTGAGAATAGAGTCAAAGAAATGCTTACCCGTTGGAATAGCCACCACCGCCGTAGCCACCATCGCGACCGCCTCTATCCTGACGATCACGACCACCGCCGTAGCCACCTCCTCCGTAGCCGCCGCCGCCGCGACCACCACCGCCGTATCCGCCGCCGTAGGACATGTTTGCTAGTTGCGAAGAGCGCGCGAAGTGTTTATTGTCGTGAATGGTGCTTCGCTTGCTTGAGCGATGCCAAAGGAAAGACCGTGGGGAGAGAAAGAAGACGCGAAGTGAACTCTTTTTCTGGAGCGAACCGAAAAGAGAACTGATGCGTTGAGGGGAGGGGGATGGAGGATTGTGAGATGGAGGAAGAGAGGGATGCAGATGAAAGAAGGGGAGAAAAAGAGTAGGAGGGTCAGAGGTTTTGGGGAGCGCGAGGGAAGGCGGTCCCGGGGTGAATTTTTTTCTTTTGCCTGCCCAAAACTTTTCGGCGACCGCTACCAGAAGGACCCTGCTAAGGCGAAAAAGGTACGTACCCGATGCACGTGGGTCTGTTACTGCCTTTATCGCTCGGATAAGATGGTGGATCTGACTCGCGATAAGGCACCTCTGCCAAATCTGCACACTGCACACTGCAGCAGCTGCAAGGTTCCACTTGACTTTTTTTTTTCTGTTTTTTTTTTCTGCCGCTCTCTCTTACCTTGCTGGCTTCCACGGTGACTGTGGTACAGTGTACTTCGGTTTGGACCGGGGGGTCTCCAGCTTTTTTTTCTTCCAGACTTTTGCATGCGAATTGCGGAGACCTGGTTTTGAATGATTGGAAATCATTTGGCCTCGAGCGAGCTTCAGCACAAGCGGTGCAAGGGAACCCTTTGACTGCTGCTTGTTTGGTATCAGTACTAATTGGGACGGCATGCGCACCCGCGGCGGGAAGTCAAGGGAAGGAAGTAAGCACGGCGAGATGCATCAGATGACAGTGGAAGCTTCTGTTCAGTCCGACTAGTTATACTTGGCTTTTTCTCTTGCCCGATCTAACGTCTAGCTAATTTATACTTGAAGCAAGGTGAGGAAGGAAATAGTACTATGTGAGGTAGGAGTAGAAACTTCGTCCACAATCTATGAGGCTGTTTGAGTATCAAGATGGCAGCAACGCGATGTAGGGGCCCCCATCCTTGCCTCCATCTTGCTACACCCGTTTCCAGTTCAAGGCCTGTCCTCTCTCCATCGTCTTTTATTGAATGGCATCCGCTCCAATTGCAGAGCCTTTATCTGTCTACCGAGCAAGAAAATTCACCGACAGAATTCCATTACCAGCTCACCGGTAAATATTGCTCGTCAAAACTCACCGGTAGGGAAACATTTCCCAGAAACCAATCTCCATCTGAAACACAGTTAGCCCAAGCTTCACCCCGCCCAACAAACATCAAGACCAACCTTTGTGCCGTGAATAAAGATCTTGATCAACCGCTCTATACTCGACGGGCTCTGCAAGGCGGCATGCCTCTCAATTAAGTCTGTGATTTAACCCCCCTCAGTCAGCAAGGGACAAAACGACTCAGTCAACCATAATGACCATGAGAGGAAAGTAAACATCTCCACAAACCTGAGCCGGTCTTCACCGCCCCGACATAGTCGTCAGCGACGTAGTTCTCGATCCACTTCCAGTACGTGTTCTCCTCGCGCTTCGTCTTGACGTCGCCGTGGAGCTGCTTTGCCACGGCGCCGTATCCGAGCAGGCATGGCGCGAGGGCCATTTGCAGCGCGATCCAGTCCTCGCTGACGCCCACGTCGAGGACGTAGCGCGTGTACGCCGTGCAGGCTGTATGTGTGGTCCTTTGTCAGTCTCGCTCTCGTGTATCTCCCCAGGGGGACCAACATCCACAAGATAAGACTTGCCTTGATGTTCCTCTGTGGCCTCGATTTCAGGCACCGTGATGCCGAAACCCTTGCAGTAGTCGATGTGCAGGCTCATCTCACGAGTTATGTGGTTGACGATTGTGGCACCCTAGATGATTCAGTACACAACCCCTCCAGAACCATGGGCAACACCTACGGCCGAGATGTCTGCTATGCTCTTCGCCTTGTAAGAAGCCAGCGCGTTGGCTCTAGCGAAGTGAACCTAAGATAGAAAATGAGTTACCAAGAATTTCCGTCGGCTATCATAGCACACGTACCAGATAGAGGTAGTCCTGGATGAGATACTGCTTGAACGACTCCATGGGCAGCGTCCCGTCTCCCATGGCCATGACGAATGGGTGATACACAAAGGTCTTCCAAACATCCTTGACATCCGGTCTCTCGAGCATGTACTCGATAAAGCGCCCACTATCGACTTTAGTCAATTCGTTGCCTATACCAGCGGTTTCAAGGAGACCTACGGTGCAAAGGGCAGCGTCTGGATAGAGTGAAAGTGATTCAGCGGACCATGCCCCTTTCCGTACCCAGGAGCAGTCTTGATCCCGGCCTCAATGTATCGACAAGCCGACTTGACAGCTTCCGATACACCAAGACCCTTTGCCAAATTAGACGCAATAGCAGCTGCCACACAAATCAGCACTCACCATACTTAACCACGACCTCTTACCCAAACTCACAAGCTAAAGAGCACCCAGTTCCGTGCGTATTCGTCGAACTCTGATACGGACTCTGCACATGCCAAAACTCGCCGTGCCCATACAACACATCCACAACAACAGCCTTGTCCTCCTCGCTCTTCGCCACAGTCAAATCCGCCTTGAACGGCGCGTGTCCGCCCTTGACGAGCACCCACTCGGGCCCTAGCGCCTGCACCGCCTTCGCCATCGCCTCGAGGTCCCCGACGCTCTCTACCTCGACCGGCGCGTGGCTCGAGTCCTCGAGGATGAGCTTCGCCTCGGGGATGTTTGGCGTGAGGACGGTGGTGAGCTTGAGCAGGCCTTCCAGCAACGCGGCGACGGCCTCGCGAGGGAGCAGCTCTGCGCCGCTGGTCGCGATCATGACCTGTGGCAGTTTGTAAGAAACTCTGGGTTATCTATCCAAAAGTCTGCGAATGACGTGTTCATACCGGGTCAACGACGACCTTGGGGACCTTGTGCCTCTTGAGAGCCTCGACAACCGTCTCAATCGTAGCAGGCGAAGCCAGCATGCCTGATTCTGAGTTAGCTGCTTAAAGCCATGGGCCAGATACAGTCTACAAATGAAGCAAATCTCACCAGTCTTGACGACGTCCACCCCGATGTCGCCGATACAGGCATCAATCTGCTTGAGAAGAAACTCCTGCGGCACGTGGTGAATGTCGTGCACTCCAGTCGTGTCCTGCGCCGTCAGCGCCGTGGTGGCCGTCATGGCATAGCAGCCATGCGCCGCGATGACTTTTTGGTCAGCCTCCAGGCCTCTTTGGATTGCCGCGTCAGCAAGCCCATCTCTGTATTTGCTTTCCCCAGATCTTGTTGCAGTCTGGAGATGAAGAATGTGTGTATACTCACGCTCCGCCGGAGCAGTCCGAGCCGGCAATGACAAGAACTCGTCCCTGAACCATGGTGACTAGTGTAGGGAGCAAAACGGACTAGTCAGAGATACGTTCGCCGGTTTGGGATCCTGTTTTTTGGGCAAGAAAGAGTATTGATACGTGTAAGGTAGCAATCGACTCTCCGGAGCTTCTTTCCGTGAAGACGGATCGGACATCATCGGAGGACGGGGTAGGCACGGCTGACGACGGATCGGTCGCGGGTCGAAGATGTCACTCAAGTGGGGGCGGGGCACCCTTTAGTTTTTGCTCACCTCAACTAAACGTCCGACTCGCAAAACTCTTCGTCGTGTTCCCACGCCATACTGTGACCTGCGCCTTACTAGTTAGTCGCACATCACGTAAAGATATCGCCAAGGCTGCCATCCTTATATGCATGACCCTCACTCGAGGCTCTATATCTCACTGGCAAGAAAAGGATGAGTGATCTGAGCGAGAGGTGAGGAAAACAAGCCACTTTTGATTTGCCTATCGTGCCGACACCCTGCCTACCTACACCATTTGGGAATCGATACGCAGATGGCCACCAACTCCATTCTGTCCTTGCTCGCTCTTGAAGATCAATCCGTAGCTTATCTAGGTCCCTTTGCCGGCCAAAACCTCAGCTGGAGACTTTATCCACTCCCCCAAAGTCACGAGTTATAGTACAAGAAAAACCAACAAACAAAACGCCGCATCATGATGCCTCTCGAATTCCACTAATAACTTTCCGGCTCAAATGCCAAGTGATCTCTTGACGATGAGTGCAACGGATCATACAACCTTACGCTGTCTCCGTCGAGTCAGCTGAGCTGTCTGTATCAAATGAGCTCATGCTGTCCGAACGCTCTGCCTTGGGCAGAGGCTCTGTCTCTTTCTCCAGTTCCGATGGGTCTGAGATACTACGCTGTCTCTCTGTTCGATTTTCGTCACCCGAAGATGCGTTTTCCTCATCCTCGTCGACATCTTCGTCGTCAGATCCGCTATCGCTGTCTTCGTCAAAGACAATTCTTCTGAGGACGTTTTTGTCAAACATCTCGAGAACCATGCGTCTAATAGGCAGGCGGTAGTGATTGTATTCAAGCATCGTCATGACGCGCCTGAACATTTTGGGACATCTAAAGCCTGCCACCTTGTGCTGCCTGATCTGCATCAGTTCACCCATTGCCCGCTTGTACAGGACCATGTTGCCGAGATCGACAACGAGATCCAGGATGCGTTGGTTGATGGCCTCTTCGTTGGTGAAGGCCGGCAGCTCTTCCTTCTCTAGAGGCGGACGCGCTTCTGTTGGTGGCGGCGGGGTCAAAAAGGTCTTTTGCGTATCTGGCAACGCAATCTTGGAGGCAATAGCGTGCTTCCAGGGTTTGAACGAGAAGAATTTGGATAGGTTATTGGGAATGCAGAATCCCATCGACTCTCCTCGCGGTGAAAGATTTGCATCCCATCCACATTCTGACAGGATCTCAAGACCGTGGGCGGATCGAGACACTAGTCCCAGGACGAAGAAGGCGGTGCCACGCAGACTCATCACCTCATGTTCTTCAGCAATCTTGACAATGTCTTCGATAACATCGCATGATTCGATAAAAGGGGCACCGAGCTCCATTGATCCCACGTTGCCGACAGCCCACATGGAGGCCTTGACCTTTAGCATGAGCTCGGGATCTTCCGACTGCATGCCGTATTCTTTGATCGTGCTGGCAAATTCAGCAAAGTGTCCCTTGTCGCTCAGTAACTTGCATCCCTCCTGAGTGCGTGCAAGCTCGCGATAGAAGTGCGGTGGAATGTGATTCTCTGGCTCGGTATCTGCTTGAGCTTCTTCCACCATGTTGATGCGGTTCTGGTGCTCTTCTGGATTCTCTAGGAATGCTTTGGCCAGGCTGGTTTCAATCACACCAACGTATGAGTCGTTTCGACCGAGGAACCAGTCATCCATCTCATTGCTGATGTAGTCAACGCCGTCGAGGTAGTGGTAGCCAATGGACGAAGACAGGAACCGCAGTAGGAGAGGAGCACCGATCTCTCCCAAGTGGTCCATTGTCGGACGACACTGGACAACATACTCCAGATATGCTTTCTTATTGCATGCCTTCTCGAGGATCTTAACTGCGGTTCGGCAGACCTCTACCTCGGGGTCGTATAGTTGGTCGCAAAGCTTCTCGATGGCCCACTTCCAGTCGATCTTGCCGTGGGATGGTTGGGATGCATCGAATGGTCGAGTGGCGTACTTCCGCAGCGCGTTCGTCGCCGTGATGCGAATCTCCCTCGTTCCAGACGTAAGAGCCTGTTCTATAAGCACCCGTGGGTGTCCCGGGATGCTGTAGTCAAAGTTTGAGAGAAGTAGTTTGATCAAGTCAGGGCGCTGCTTGTGCCCGAGAATGTGGTACATCATGTTGAACATTCTCCAGCGTTGTAGAAGCTCCAAGCCTCTGGGATCACCACTTAGGACTCCAAGCATGGGGAAGTATCCTGCGCAAAGTGTGCTTTGCAAGCGACCAGGGGAGAACATTGGATCCGTGGATGTCAATCCGCTGCTCTGCATTGTTTGTTAGTGTCTTGATGAGGTTGCCAAGGATGTGTTTTTTTTTGCTTACCGGGTCACATTGAGCGAGGCACTCAGCTATCTGCCGTAACATCTTATGATCTTGCAAGTACTGAAAGCCCTCATTTGACTGAAGCAGAGTGTGCATCAGTGTGCATCCGACCCTGACGTACTTTTGAGAATTCTTATTGCTTGTAAGATCCGAAAACCTGTGCTTAAAAGGCCGGTAGAAGCTCATGATCCTGTTCATAAACTTGGACACCCTGTTGACCTCGTCTAGTCGCTTTCCATCTTGAAGCGGCCCTTCGATGATTCGCGAGATAACATCCCAGTTCCATTTCAAGTAGTTGGAGCTATTCAGGACATTAGACTCCACCAAAAGCTGCCGGATTGCGCCCTCTTGAACCACAATCCCGGCGTTGCTTTTACGGTGCATGTCTGCGAGGTTGTCGCTGGAGGGGAGAGTTCCAGCAGTCGCGATAGACGGCGTGCTCCTATACAGCGTCTTGCTCACTGAGCTAATCTGATAAACTATGCCCGAGGCAACGAATCTGTTGTCGTCTTTGAACTGAGTCGCCGCAGCGAAGAGCTCCGGAAGCAGAGGTAAGTCGTTGCTCCACGTCGCGGGGAGGAGCCTGCTTGCCAGCTTCAGCACCTCGCCAATCAGGAGACACGTCTTTCTGGAGAGCTGAGGGTCACTGGTCCTGGCAACTTGGAGCAAGTTTTCCAATAGACCAGCTTTGACGAATGTAGCCAGAAGCAGAGCAGTGTAGTGATCCATGAAGTTTTGCTCTCCACTATCTTCCTCCACGGGCAGAGCATTGGCCGAGGGCGTCTGGTTCGGAACTGATTTGAGGCTCGCTACCCGTCCATATGTCGTTAGGCGGCGACCAGCTAGGAAGGAAGAAGCCCACGAGGGCGACTTGATCCGGAGAAGAAGGTAAATGAGATCGATTACTGTCTCTCGGATGGTTGCTTGTGGAAGCACCATGCTAGTGAGCAGCGACTTGATGGCTCGAGAGTCATGCATAGTCAGCATCATCAACCCAGGCCAACTCTTCAGGATCTTGGTGATTGCTTTGGCGTTCTGCTTCAGTAAGCTCTCATTTGCGAGGATAATATCTGTGAATGCCGTGAAGAGAACCTCCAGATCATAACCGGAGCGCAAGTAGATTCTCTTTTGTGGGTTATCCAAGATCTGCATATAAGACGCCGTAAGAGATTCAGGCGATTTATATGTTCCTTCGATCAAAGCCTCAGAGAGCGGTGAAAGGCCGCCAGAAGCGACTGCCAGGGCCGGGTCACGAAGCATAACCTCAGCAAGTGTTTCCAAGCAGATGGAGCGTAGACGATCTTCAGCCTGCTCTGCAACAGCGGCTATAGTCCTCACAACAGCGCGTGAAAGCTCTTTGACTCCATCCTTGACATCCAAAAAGGCCCGGACGAACTTCAAGGCCTGTTCACGCTCCAGATCTGCTTTTCGGTCTTTGATCAAAGATCTACGGTTTGTTAGCTGTGGCTCGCAGTCTTGTCAATTGTAGAAACATGGCCAAACTCACGTCACAACAATGATGTCAGTATTCAGACTGCGGATCTTCTTTAAAGAAGACACATCTGAGATGGCATAGCGAATCATTCGGTAACCAGCTGCTACTACTTCTCTGGCCTCACTGAGCAGCATTACTTGCATGCGAAGACCGAACACCGACCATACCAGGTCATACTTGAGAGTTGGATGCCGCCTGAACAGATCAACTAGACTGTTTCCTCGACTGACATAGTACTCTGGCGGCATGCCCTCTTGCTCAAGGGCTTGTAGCAACTCAGCCAGGAGAAAGGTCGGTGACTGCTCAGCCGTCTCTTCATTGTCTGAACCAGCGCCACTGCGAGAGGCGCTAGGAGGTGAGCGCATGCCATTGTTGGCAGAAGAGAACAGTGGCTCGTTTGTCCTTTGTCTTGTGGGTGTGGTTGGAGTCGCCTTGAATCTCGAGGCATCTGTAATCTTCTGCCGTAGATTCTTGATGCGCTGGTTGGAGGCATTCAGCTCTGCTTCGACCTTGGCCCTCTGTTCCTTGGTTTGTTTTGCCTTCTTGGCGTTTAAGGCTTCCAGCATGTTCTCACTTCCGTCCTTGATCTTCATCTCTCGATTCAGCTGCTCCTTGAGAATAGCGAGGGTCTGCTCTGCAGCCGTGGCGGGATCTTCCTCGTCGACCTTATCGATGCTGTAGATGTCGCCTCGGGAGCCAGAGCGAGATGGCATCATCTGGCTGCGCAGCTCAGAACTAAAGCTCCCAGGGGCGATGGAGGGGTTGAGGGAAGAGCCTCGGGGTCCGAAGCTGACGCCCGAGGCGCCCAGACTTCTCGATCCATTGACAGAGGCGGATGGCGGCTGAAGGCCGCCGGTGCTCTCTATGCGCTCGAAACTCGGACGTGGATTGAGGGTATTGGCGCTCGATGCCGACTGTTGAGGCGAGAGTGCCTTTTGAGACTGTCCGGAGGCGCTCAGCATCTTGGCGATGCCTCTCTATGTTACCACCTTGCTACGGGGCTTCTCCGGAGGTTCTGGCATTCGGGCGACTGTTATTTCAGTACTGCTCTGATTTTAGAAATTCGTTATCGGGGTGTCAGGGGGTTGGTGGTCGTAGTCGGGGTTCGTCCGCGTGGAGTAAAGGACTGTCGTCGATCGCTTGAATGAGGCTCTGTCGCGGTAGGTGGGTAACGGGTTTCGAATTGAGGTTCGGACAATTCTTCAAATTGAAGGCGGTCGAAATATGGCGCCAGAGGTACGGAGGAGAAGGTGAATGTCCGAGTCGCAGGCTGTTGGGCGCGCAAATGGGCGAAGTTGGTCGGCCACCCGCAGAGCCACGCCAAGAGCAGGGCAGGACGTCAGTCCGAGTGGAGATGCGATGTGAGTCTAATGCTGAGGATATGCGATTGGCGCATCAGAAAGGGTTGATCGTTTGGATCTTTCGCAGGTTCCAGCCGTGGCAGACGGTCCCGATAACAGTGTCGCTTGAGGTCGGGCGAGATATCTGTGCACTTGGGTTGTCTGTGATGGATGATTAGTTCTGGTGGAAGCAGTCGTCGCTGTTGTCGTTGTCTCGACTGTTGCGTGGTGCTGCGGCGTTCCAGCCGAGTGCTCGTTCACGGCCCACAGTTGACGGTGAAGTACCTACTGTGTAAGGTAGGTACTGCGCAGTGCGTACTTGGTCGCCGGATACCAACTGAGCCTGGTCTTCAGAGCTTCAGGAGTGGGCCTGGATGCGCATGGGTTGCTGTCGCGGGCGTGGCTCAGCGGTGTTAACAGTTGAGAATGGTCGCGGGCGGGCTGTAGAGGTGTGGTTGCTGCCAATGTCACCTGTGGACCGCAGAAGGCGCTGATACTGGTGTCTGAGGTGGGTGGTGTTCAGGGGTGATTTCTCAGGGTGGTGCAGTGTCACGGCCACAGCTGCAGCGAAGTTGCGAGGTTCTCCTCTGTTCAAGCTCTCCAGTGCACCTCTGACTCTCAGGACGGGGTAAGCAGCGTCTGCGTCAGTTCGCCTTTGAAAGTATCTTACTTGCCCTACAATGAGGTAAATTAAGGTGAAGAAAGGTGAGAGAAAAGAGAAATCTTGAGGTATGGCTTTGGGGTTGTCAAGGTAGGTAGGAAGGAATAGGGAGATACGGTAGGTAGGCTGTTTCTTGAAAGTACTTTCCAGCTCAAGTGTGTACGGATTTGGCAGCCCCAAGCCCATTGTTCGGGTTCAGATTGTTGGAGTCGGACCTCGTTCATGCACGCACACAGCCAAGTCCATTTTACCTCATTCATCATCCATCTTCAATGCTGATGTTAATCAACTTGAGATCACGTGTACAACACAACTTAGCTTCGGCCTGTCTATCTTATCTTCAAGCATTTATGTCCGAGGATCTGGAAAGAACTGATGATGAAATCTTACTTGCCCTCTCGGTGCGCTCTTTCTCCTTCGGCTCCTTCTGCTGCTGCTGGGCTATTGCTGCATGCGCCGTAACGCGGAAGGAAGCAGCCTTCCTTTAGTAGCCCCGCTTCTTGGTCGCTTCACCCCTCACCGAAAGCTTGGACCACGTCTCTCTCCCCTTTGGTGACCTTGGAAGATGTCGAGTACAAATACTTGCTCAGATAGGGCACCATGCCTCGTTATGCTTGGCTCAGACGGTAAGAGGACTGCCTGAGAAGCCAATGGGGACGTTGCCGTCAGCTGCAGCAGTCTCTATTTCGAGCTACCTTCTAGCGTTACGTCTGCTGAAGGGGTACATCGTCATGGATAAGGTTGGCATCTTGTCGATAAGCCCCAGATAAGGCACGAAACCTTGACCCCATTATCTGTACAGATACAGGTGCAGCTCTTGGCACCACTCAGTTCTACCTTGACGCTCAACGATCAACGACCAACGACCTCCAATAATTTACAAGAATGATCGCCTAAAGTAGATCACGATAGCTTGGACAGCCTCATGTTTTCGTCAGCCTATCCTCCGATATGGTGCATGTTACTTGAGCTAAAGATCTTCATTATGGTTAGGTAAAGTGCAGTCGACGATGGCTTCAATCGATGAACCAGCTTCTATTCAAAGGAACCTGAAAAGACGGGCAGTCAACTTCGGGCGAGCCCATATCCGTACCTTTTTTGTATTGCATAGAGAGAAAAAAGGTGCTCGTGAACGCTCATCATGGACCATCCTACCGAGGAAATCCCTTGCTGTCTGAAGCTGCTTGTGCCACAGCATCAACTGCCACTACCAATGCTGAAACGCGGCCGGCTCCCCCATCCGCAGTCATTCGATGCCTCGGAGACACCCACCTCTATCCGTGTCAAGCAGACTTGCTGGTAGCAAGTACTGGTGGCGGGAGATAGGAACCAACGCCGAGGATCGAGACAACAGCTGCCAAAGAGTTCCCATCATCCACACAGCAAACATAATGGACAGAAATGATTCTGTCAGAATCAGTCACACACTACGGGATTTGCATCTTCGGCCTTTCGGTCTAATATCCACAGTCCCGAAATGGCGGGGGCCCCGGTTCCTTCGCGCGCCCGTCTTTGGCCAAACCCTCACCTCACCTCACCTCATCTCATCTCACTTCACCTTGACCTCACATCAGGTCGGAGAGCGGCGGCACAGGGACGGGCTTTGAGAGAAACGGCTTGCATGATGTGTGGGTTTCTTGGTGTTCCCATGTTGGTTGTGAAGCGTTCATGTACATTCTTCATCATTGTATGAAATATTGACCCTTACGCGGAGCCGGCCACTGGAGGTCCAGCAGCCAAGATACATCACGAGTATCTGCGGCTCTGTAAGATCCTTTGATCTCATCGAGTCTTCATTGGTCCCGTAGAGACGGAACCTGGAGAGGAAAGGTGCAAAATCAACTACCGCCTGCGGTAGCTAAGGTAGTCACGGCAGAACTTGCCGCCTCTCGTCTTGTTTCTTCTTTTTTTCCAGAGCCCTAGAGGCTAGAGGCGTTTGCTTCGTGGAGCTGAGGTACCTCGCCTTACCAAATAGCATGTACGGCCCAGAGCGTCTCTCGTCGGTCCCGCCCTGGCGCAGACAGCCGTAGGGAGACAGCGGCTGCATGCGGCGACTTGCCTGCCCAGCGTCCAAAGGGCATCGGCGGGCTCCGGGGGATCCACCCAGCTCCAATAAGACCATTCTACCCCACGGCAGCCGGACCCTATCAAGCGATCGGGCCAGTTCGGCCAGGCCATTGGGCCCTTACCTACCTACCCCCGACCCGCGGGGCCACCCTTACACAGTACGTACATCCCAGCACCCAACACAAGCAGAAGCTTTCATGCTTGCACAGCGCAAACATTGCGTGCCGATTCAAGACGCGACTACGCTATCTGTGCTGCTTGCTGGTGTATCTCCGGCCCGGCTCTTGTCTCTGTGGTGGGTGACGTCCAACGAAGCTAATCTGAGAGCGAGAACCTCAACCAATTTCTTCTCTTGGATGTTGATATAAAACCTATCGTCCCCCCTCTGGCCTCTTCTCTTGTGACCTTGCCCTTGTCCTCTGTCTCATCATCAACCAACAACCACCTCCTTATCAGTGCTTGCTTGCAGTCTCTCTTGAGCTTGAACCACTTAGCACCTTGCTCTCATCCTCGACCCTCATCTCACAACGACATCTCATCTTATCTCGTCTTTGCGATACCAGCAATCTCATCCGTGATACCCCAAACGCCCTACTTTTTGTTCGCTTTCCCATTCTCAACCCTCGCAAAGCCACACACGAACACACACACACACACACATTCACAATGGCAGCCTACCTCGCCTCCGCCCGCTACGGCAAGGACAACGTCCGCGTCTACAAGGTCGAGAAGAACGGCAACGTCCAGACCGTCACCGAGATGACTGTCTGCTGCCTCCTCGAGGGCGAGATCGAGACCTCGTACACAGTCGCCGACAACAGCGTCGTCGTCGCCACCGACTCCATCAAGAACACCACCTACATCAAGGCCAAGGAGAACCCCGTCAACCCCCCGGAGCTCTTCGCCTCCATCCTCGGCGCCCACTTCCTCGAAACCTACGCCCACATCCACACAGCCAACGTCAAAATCATCCAGCACCGCTGGACCCGCATGACCGTCGACGGCAAGCCGCACCCGCACTCCTTCTTCCGCGACGGCGAGGAGACCCGCAACGTCGAGGCCCGCATCTCCCGCAAGGACGGCATCGCCCTCACCAGCGCCATCCAGAAGCTCACCGTCCTGAAGTCCACCGGCTCCGCCTTCCACGGCTTCGTCCGCGACGAGTACACCACCCTCCCCGAGACCTGGGACCGCATCCTGTCCACCGATGTCGACGCCGCCTGGACCTGGAAGTTCCCAGACCTGGCCGCCGTCCGCGCCGCCGTGCCCAAATTCGACCCCGCGTGGCGCGCCGCCCGCGACATCACCATGAAGACCTTTGCCGAGGACGAGAGCGCCAGCGTGCAAAACACAATGTACAAGATGTGCGAGCAGATCCTCGCCGCCGTACCCGAGACCCTGACCGCCACCTACTCCCTGCCCAACAAGCACTACTTTGAGATCGACCTCAGCTGGCACAAGGGGCTCAAGAACACGGGCAAGGACGCCGAGGTCTACGCGCCGCAGTCTGGTCCCAACGGCCTCATCAAGTGCGAGGTTGCCCGCAAGCCCGAAACCGCCAAGTTGTAGGCGCGAGCTTTGGGTGAGTTGGCCTGTGGGTCGAGTGAGTGAGATAAGGGGTTGTAGACTGAGGATGAGAGAAGATGCTTTCCTATGAGAATCTAGTGAGATTCGCCACTTGCATTTACCGGCGTCCATGACCTGGTCAAGCCTGGTCGGGTGTTCTTTTATAGTAATAATGAGCAATGACTAAGAATATGATAACCCATCAAATTTATTGTCCTTGAGAGAATTCCTGTGACTCGAGTGATACCGGCGTTTGGCTTTGGAACTGATCTTAGAATATGGGCAAGACGGAGAGCTTTGACGAAGCCACCCATGATACCATGTACGGGTTTCCGGAAAGGGCGCGGTGCTTCTCAATGGTGTTCCCCATTCTACGACCTGTCCCGCAAATGACACATATACTCGAACTGCTGCTTGATATTTAGATTCATTTGAGACAGATGTCGTGAGGAGCGTTTTCCTCTTTTCTTTAAGCTGAACAATAGTAAAAGGCCGTTAGCGTATCCATCAAGCTTTCACACGTATTGCGATATTTAAGAAAGACTTGGCAATTGACTCCAATCAGGAGACAATTTGTAAAAGTGACAATAACTTACAAACTCAGATGTATGTATTCAAAGTATTGGATAAGGAAGCAATACCTGTGTCTCTTGGCAGCAGAGCTCAGGAGTGATTCCAGACACTACTATTCGAAATCAAAGGCAACGTGAACGTAGGTAAAAACTTGATGGATCACATCTTCATACTGCTGCCATTATCACCCTTGACGAAACACGCCTGTCTATAAAAAAGATATTAGTAGGTTCCCTGATACCGCACCTAGCCTTCCTTGCTCCTTTTCAACCGGCACTCCTCTTCCCCTCGCCTATATCGAGACATCGTAGACTGTCGATGCTCAGCTCGCAACATTCTCGACATCAGTTCCAACAGGTACGATGTCTTTCGAAAGCCTCAGGGGTTTCCAGGGGATCGCATTACGCATGTCAGGCAGAGATCCCAATCCCAAAAGCCAGATCATATGTATCAATGACACACATAGTCCAGCACTCGATGAGAAACACTGCCACATTGTAGAGGGTCATTTGACTTCAAAGTTTTTGAGAATGCCCGTATTCGTACAGAATATACACGCCGACTCAAGACGGCTTTACTTTACACCTCGCTCGTCCCTTCCCCCTCCATCACCCCTTTACAACCGTCGCACCTTATGGAGAGTCAACAGCAAAACCCCTCTCATATCCTCTGCGAATCCGCCTCCCGGATCGCCTTAACCTGCTCCTCCCACCCAGTCTTTCCCACAGGAACATCCCCAAACCGAATAACATTCTGCTTATACGGATGCGCCTCCCCCTCGAAAGCCTTAAGCCTCGCAAGCCTCTTCTCCCGCAGCCTATTCTTGGGCAACATGCCGCTCACCGCCTTACGCAGCACCTCGGCGCCGCCGTGCTTCTCCATCAGCACGTCCATCGTCACCTGTCGCAGGCTACCGGGGCGGGTGTTGTGTCGGTAGTACGTCTTCTGCCACTTCTTGCGTCCCGTCACGTGCAGCGCCGCGCAGTCCGTCACCACCACGTAGTCGCCGCAGTCCGTCGAAGGGTCCCAGGTCGGCTTGTGCTTGCCCATCAGCAACACGGCGATGCGGCTGGCCAGGCGGCCCAGCGAGGGCGGGGTGACGCCCGGCTGGGTCGAGAGGATCTCGTGGGGAGCCGAGGCGGAGATTTGGTGCCATACTCGGGAGTAGGAGAGGCGCGTCTGGAGAGTTGAGCAACTGGGTTAGCTATATGGTCGTTACGATAGCTCTCGGGAGCATGGAGAGAGGTATATTTGATTGGGGAGGCTGTGAAAGGGGGAAAGCTTACTAGGCCAATGGTTTGCGACATCTTGAAATGTGTGTTCTGGGGCTGGCCGCCTCAGCCGACTTTGACGCTCGTTTCTGGTATGCGCGGACCGAATCGGTCAATAGGACAGTTCTTGCAGCGGGCAAGCCAGCGATAAAGCGTCGTCGTCGGATCTCGGAAAAGGAATGTAGTCGTCACGCGTTCTTGGGCGTCGTTGGCGATCTCCATTCAACAGCCTGACCCTGAGCTTCTCCCAAAATTTTGGAGCCGGGAGCGTTCTCACGTGATGATAATGATAAGATCCCATCAGTTCGGTGATGGAACGAAAGCTGCTTTCGAGCTACCAGATGGTGCCAGCTGTTGGGGCTGCTTCCAGCTGCAGAGACCAAGCGCCGACTTTGGGGCCGATGCTCTCCAAAAACTGGCCCAAGCGTTCCCATGGCGGGGCAGAAGACGACGGAAAGCAATGAGGCGATGCGATCCAATTGCGCCGTGCTCGCTGTCCGCTGGCCGCGAGTGGGAGAGGAGGGGCAGCAGCACGATTTCAAAGCAAGCCCATATTCACAGACAACTTTACTCCACGATGGACCATGGGTATTAAACCCGCATATGCCGGCACAGTCATCCCATAGGTTGTTGGTACGCAATTCAACAGCATCATAACCATATCTATGAGCAATACCACTTGAAAACTTTGGGCATTTTGTCAAAGTGGGATGGTCACGAAGTAAACCCGCGACACACCAACATTCCCTGGGGCTCTTTTTTCCCCGAGAACGACAAACTCCATCCATCTCTCTTTATTTTAGGAACGGGAAACTACCGGAGTTTACAACCTGACCTCACTTTTTTCTCATCTCAACAACAGCACAAACAACAAAGGGTCCTACAAGGACAGAGCATGCTCTACTGCCTCCCCGACTTCATCCACAACTACCGCTCTCTGCTACGAAGCCCGCTGCAGCCAAGCAGACGACCCTTCACCATGACCGTCTCATATCCTTTTCAGGTGAGTTCTCAATACCGTTTCTCTCTCTTTCCCTCTATGCCTGTTCTCCAGTCTGGTCCTCTCTTTCCGCTTTGCCCGGCAAGTCCAGTCAGTCAGTCAGGCAGTCCACCCGCCCCTCAAGTCTCCGTCACGGACACGGGACCTGGCCGAGGAGACAAAGTCTTGTTCCTTCATTCTCGCTCGCTCGCTCCGTCGTCCGTCAGTACCGTCCCGTCGAGACGCACGCAATCCGGGTAGAGGGACATGTGCGTATGAGGGTCCATTCCTCTTCCGCACGCACATACACGGGCTTCATCCTTTGCCCATTTACTACCCATTGCCCTTTTCCACCTGTTCAAGTATACCCAAGTCTACAATACAGCAATGGGGGTGTAATTGCTCAACTGAATCAAATGGCTAATGAAACGTCTGAAAATCCAACACTAGACCGTTTTCGCCGTACCCATGACATGTGACAGCTGCGTCAAGGACGTTTCAGACTCGTTGTACAAGCTCGGGGGTATCACCAAGGTCGAGGCCAATCTCAAGGACCAATTGCTTTCTGTCGAGGGCACAGGTACGTTGTCTTCTGCCGCAAACTCTGAAAGCTTTTTTTTCCTTTTCTTTTCTTTTCCCTTTTTCACTTTCATCCTTCTTGCGGCTCATGGCTGTTGATCCCTCCTCCATCCACACACACACACACACACACACACACACACACACACACACACGCCCCCTTCCCTGTCTTACACCCATGCTGTTGTGCGTCCCACATACACGATGCTTTGAGGCTTCCCAAGCTTGCCGGTTTGACAGCGCCATCGTGGTGATCCTCTCAAGATTGTATTCGCTGCCTTACAAACCTGTCATGGGGGATGGATAGACTCAAAAAATTGAACGCTTTACCGTTTGGAAAAAAGAAAAGAATGTACCTGCCGCTAACACTCTTGGCGACGTTTTGCAGCCGCACCATCAACAATTGTTGACGCCATCCAAGCCACGGGGAGGGACGCCATCTTGCGAGGCTCGGGAGGATCAAACAGTAGGTCAACTGAAGTCTCTTCTTTCTCTCCTTGGCTTTTGTGCTCTTGTCGTCCAAGTCCAACTTTTCTGTCCGCATTTCCTGTAACCCCTTGGCGGACATTAAGTTGTTTCCTGATACCACCCAACTTGTCTTGTCACACCGGCACTGGTGTCGGCAGATGGGGTCAAGTTTTGGGTTTTCATCGTCGTCGTTTAAACTCGCTCACCTGGGAACACCGGACTTCATCTGACCGCTGACTCACCACGTCCCTTAGGCGCGGCTGTGAGCATCCTCGAGTCTTTTTACCATGCAGATGATGCGCCTTCAAAGTTGAATGAGCAGCGAGACCGAGAGGTCAGGGGCCTGGCTAGAATGGTGCAGGTCTCCCCGACTACAACTCTGATCGACATGACGCTACGCGGCGTTGCCCCCGGGTCATACCGAGCTACAATCCGTGAGTACGGTAACCTGGCAGAGGGCGCATCATCGACGGGCCCTGTCTGGTCGGGAGGCAGTCAAGACGCCGCCGCCGCCAAGGGCTTCTTGGGTGTCTTCAACGTCGACAAGGATGGCAGAGGCAGCGCCTATCTCGACAAACCCTTTCAAATCTGGGAAGTTATTGGCCATGCCATGGTCGTCTCGAGACAAGATGAGTCTGCAGGGGCGTTGAAAAATGACCCAGACACGTTAGTCGGCGTGATTGCCAGGAGTGCCGGCGTGTGGGACAATGATAAGACGGTCTGTTCATGCACCGGCAAGACGCTGTGGGAGGAGAGAAAGGACGAGGTTGAGAAGGGTATGCTGTAGGTAGACTTCGCGGGAAGCCATCAGATGATGTATAAAGAATGATCATGAAATCAACGAGAGATTTTCAATGTGTTTCTTGCCAGGGAAGCTCGGTCGATGAGCCGGATAGGCTTTATGATGATCACCAATAGCCACACGTGGAGTGGCAGCCACCATAAACAATATCGTACGATTTTTGCGATGAACGTAGATTTTTGGACTGCATCTGCTACCTCAGGTCAAGGTCGATGGCCACGGCTTCCAGAACACTGACAGGCAAGATGCCAGGGGTTGTTGTGGTTATGGTGTGAGGAGTCCAAAGAACCGCACCATGGTCGGGTTTGACACTGAGGCTGAGCCTCTCCAATGCCTTGGCATACTGCCCACCCCAAGGATGAGGTTCAAGGACTCTCGGTTAGGTAGACAGATTCGCGGACCTGGAGTTGCGGGATGGGGGCACTTACCTTGGACTCTGGGGTCTCGCTAAGGTTGCGGGTTTCCATCCGTTGTCACAGGCTCGTGTAAGTTAACCTCTGTATGCCAAGCTTCCCAAGGCTTGTCTCGGTCAGAATTTTCCGCCGAGTTCTTGATCGTCTCTGGGCGATGGGACAGATGGGACAGCGGGGCCAGCAAAAGAGATGGAGCCTCTGTTCCCTGGGAACGGAGAGAGAGGCCTATGCCAGAGGAGGAGACCAACAGACATGGCTTCAGCGTCGGGCTTGATGCAGATCATGTTAGAAGAAACACTGACGACGGTTCCGGGAGATTCCCCCCACCGATCGAAGACCGGAAGGAGGCGGAGCGTAGGTGACAGGTGGTAGATGAGACGAATACGCGTTGTAGTTGAACAGGGACCAGAGGCGCTACCTTATTTTGCTGGATCGCAGGGGCGCCGGGACCGCCTTGCCGTGATAAGGCCCACTATCCGTAGTAAGGGCGTGTACGCAGATGGCATTACACAAGGAGGCTGATGCTGCAGTGCCAGTGGGAACTTGAAGTGACCGACATATACGTGCAAAGGGGTCGATGGGTGGAGAAGATGGCCGAGTTTGAAACTAGCTTAGGTAGGTGGTAGGCAAGCTCGAAATCGGATGCGAGAAGCGGTGGTCTGTACTCTTTACGTGCAGATTGCAGATTGAGTAAGGCAGCCCCAAAGATACGGGGCGGAGGCGGCAGGGGAGTTGAAGTGTTCGTTGACGACATGTCTAGGCTGATAATGACAGAAGGTTAAGTCAGTTGGGCTGCTTGAGAGCCACAAAGAAGCCACTGCGCCAAAGTGTATCGACGTTTATGATGCAAACGTGTTTGACGAGGAGGCTAATTCAGGAAACAAGAGTCGAGGAACAGCTGAGTCTCGACCCGTGGGCAATGTTTGGTGGTGAACATGACAAGTGCCTGCCGGAGCTCCCTCTCGAGATTTGCATTTGCGGGCTTCGGACCGCGGAGGTTCGCATTGAACGACGGGGGCAACGTAGATCTTGCCGCGTCACGGGTGGATTCATCCGTTCAAAGGGATGCCCAGACTTGTGACACTTGGGAAGAGAAGGAAAAATAGGGGAGTGGAAGGTTGATGGGCGAGCGAGCAGCAACTCGGAGCGGAGCGTTATGGGTGCCACTGTCTGCGATCCATGGCGCGGTCCTGTCCGTGTGTTGAGTGCATCGTGTCGAGTCACCTTGGCTTACCTTGGGGCCAAGACGAGATGTGGTTGAGGCGAATTATTGCGTATCAAGAGCGAGGGGCAGACCTAGACAGTTGGCGCCTAGACAGAAGACTACTTGGTAGCCCAGCAGACGGGAGACGCATGGCCTACGGCTCGATGACTGAGGGAACCCCTCAAACCCGGCCGGATGCTGCGTGGTAAAACAAGGTGAAGTTCACAGGCTTGACGTCTGGTTCATGCGGCGAAGTGGCTGGTGGTCTGGGCAGAGTCGCAAGTCGTTCCACACCCAAAGGTATGTGGAGAGTGACATTGCCCTAGCTGCGCCAACGTTACAGCAGAAGCTGCCTTTACCCAGATCAAGGTACCTTGGCAGGTGTGTGTGTTGATCCTTCGAGTACGAACGAATCCATACCTATCCGTACCTACTACTCCGTATAGATACCTACCCTACCATGACTTGGTATGATAGCCAGGCACGTCACGATAGTGTAAGGTAGGTACGGATAGAGAAGAAGAAGAGTGTGCGCCCCTTGCACATGAGGTAGACAGCACGTCAGTGGGGACGCCAGCACGGGACTTCCAAAACAGCCTGAAGGACAAGCGAGTTTCGCAGACTCTTGAGACTTGGGACTGGCAGGGATAATTAGAGTTGGAGATGGTTTTGCTGGGTGTCACGGTGTCTTTCCGTATCCTACAGCCCACGGGTACGAAGTACCTTACGCAGTGATGTCCGGAGTACCTTGCTGTCTAATAACGATAGGGCGGTGCGTAGTTGGGGGGTTCCTTGGAAAGCATCTTTTCGGCTTCGGTCTTTGGGTTGCCCTGAGAAGGGATCTTCTTGTCACTGGCGATGCAAGTCATTCTAGCGAGGCCACATTTTGTTCTTTTTTCGTTCTTTTTGGAAGAAGCTGCGTGGGTCCTGGCTCGTGCTTGCCGTTGCTTGTAAGTTGTCCCCGCTGTCTTACATCATTTCTAGGTACCTTAGGTATTGGAAGGAGAGAGAGAGCGAGAGTTGAGTAGATTCTGGACTTGACTCTCGATTGTAAAGAACCTGCCTTAGGTTATCTGTTCCTTCCCCAGGACGACCTCGACAAGATCACGTTCCTCTTGGCAAGATACGTACTTGGACAACGTGCCTCTTTTTGATGGGCGGGAGGAAGGAACGCCTGGCATGGATGCTGGGTTAAGATGGCAGTGGCTTCCGACGGGACACAGGCGAGGCAGGTACGCTACTTTCTTAGTCAAACGTCAACGACGTGTGGCTGAGCTTGTTGAGCCTTCAAGTATCGGATGCCTAGACCCTACCTACTGTATGTAGAGGTTGACGGCTGAAGCCAAGTCTCCCCTCGACGCATCCTGGTCCTTGCTGAGTAGCCCTGATCCCTCAACCTCGCGATGACTCGACTCTCTTTCACACGCACTCTCTCCCTCCCTGTTAATCCGACAAATCTTACGATATCAACTATTGCGAATTTAACCTAGGCTAAGCATCGACTCTGGACAACTGCACAGACACGACTGCCGATATTGACGCCAGTGCCTTCGCCAGTCAGTGACGGTCCTATGGACGGCTAGAACCACTTGTGGACCCGCTGCAGATAAGGTTGTCTAAATCCTAACCAGGACTGGATGGGATGAGCGATGCCCCAGACGAGACGCCACAAAGGGCAATAGAGAAGAACCTGCCGACGAACCTATACCTTTCCTTGGCGGTCTCTTCTCCTCCTTCGAGCCAAACCCCGCCATCCGGCCAATCTACTGGCGAGAGACTTCACACAGCCCGTCACACCACGATGGCCTCATGATATGCCAGAATCAACCGAGCGGTACCTCACTCCTCCATCTTGTGCAAATTCCAGTTCTGTGGGATGCAGCCCCCCATGCAGGAACATCGTCCTAGACTGGTACCAATACCTACAGCCTGGACTGCCGAACCTACGTGTCTGCGCCGCAGTCTCGCAGATGTCTTGACTTGGGCTGAGGGGTCTCTAGATTCTGTACCACCAACCTTCGGTTTCCATTGCCGATCCTCGTCGACCAAAGACAGCCCACCATCTCCAGAGTTCAACCTATTGTGATACCACAACGACCGCCTAGTGCTCAGATATATGACCTACACGCCTCCTTCATAGCGACACCTTGATTCGATCTGGGCTGACCAATTTGACGGACGCCCATCTGCTCGACCTGGGCTTTGGTTGATGAAGGATGAAGCACCCATCTGACGGACGGAGAAACTTTGGTTGGAAACGTCCGGACGGGTCGGGCTGCCCAACTGGCGACATGTCACCCGCACCGAGGCGGCCAACGTTGCCAGTTCACCGGGTCAGCCCAATCAGAAAAATATCACCGGCGCTTAACTTCTCCCATATGCACTCTGCAAAGAACGGCACTTTTGGAAGATGCTATTTTAAACAGTTCAACGTCATTTCTCCCAGCTCCAGTGGACTGGTTTGGCAGACCATTTCCAGTATGGCGGCCTGCAAGCACTTACACCTCATCCACTTTTCAACCTCTTCTCTGGGTTCGCAAAAGCAACTAAGAAGAAAACCCCGGTGATTGAACGAGATCGGACGGCCTTGCAGTTGCAATCACCTCTGCAGCATCTCCATATTCAGCCACGAGGCGTGATACAGCTGCAAGCTGCGGGTTGCAGTCACGGTTCACTACGGAGTACCTACTGTACAGTAGTAGGGGCTAAGAGAAGCACGACTTACAACTGTGATCAAGGCGGCGTTAGTCACTCTTCTACGCGCCCTTGGCCCCTGGCAACTTAGTGGCTCAAAGGTCCGGCCCACGACCCGTATTCCTGGGGGCCAATCAGGCACAGCTCGCATTCGCTGGAACGCTTCGTGCATGGGAAGCGACAGGCCCTGATTCGCAGTGGTTGCACGATGCCTGCGATACCCGGCATTAGTGCATTACCGTTAAGGGACCGCTGCCTCTTGTCCAGCTGCCACGCACACAATGAGGACAGGAGAGGGGACACTGAGAAGAGTCAATCGTCGTCAGCGTCCCTCCCTGGAGGATCAGGAGAAGCAGACAGTCCAAAACAGCCACTCCCTTGTCAAGCCTACCGCAAGATACGCAGTATGCGATCTGACCCGCGACGCCATGACATGGACTCCGGCTTCCTCCTCGCCCATCACTCACTGCCCAGGCTCTCTTACACCCCCCCGGAACGGACGTCGGATGGAATGCCCAGACAAACTAGGGGTGGCTCCTCCAAGACGAGGCACAGAGGGCCCGAGGGGATCCCAACCCAACGTTCGATGTCCAGCATATTCACAACCCAGCATCTGGCGACGAGATATGCAAAGTGGTTCGATTTCGAGAGAAAACACTTGATTCTATCACTCAATTTAGACAAGTTTGTTTCCTCCCGCCGAACGAAATACCTTGTCGAATATCCAAAGAAGGATCTGCGTGGCTGCTTAAAGTGTTCTGGGACGACGTCTTGGGAAAAGTCGACAGACGGGAGATGATCTCTTTGGCGCCGAGCTATCTCACAAGTCACAACTGTGTGCTCTGTACTCCATATGCCTCTGGAAGGCTGTATCCATCCTGTACAGTCTGTACTCACCTCGAACACAAGTTCACGTTTTGTCACCGAGGCAGATCCTGTAATGGCCAAGATCGGTTGCACAATTCGTCTCTCCCCCAAACCCAGGCTGGGCGTGCGAAAGCCGACCAAAAGACACCCGGAATTCTGTTGCAACAAGATACACGCCCCCTTCGTCCACCGAGCTGCCCAAGCCACTTGTTCCGGGCCCTCTGCTCTCTACACCCCCCCTTCCAGTGTCGATACTCGGCCAGGAAGAAGAACAACCCCCTTGGATCCCCCTGCGACTCGCAACTGGACGAGCACCGGAGCACAGGCATCCTGAGCGTTTCCTGACTGAGAATCGAGTTGGAATATCAATCACTGATGAGCACCTTGCATGATATACACCCAGTCTCGCGGCCCACAACCCAACCAGTCAAGTCCCCCTTGGTCCCTCGCTGCAAGCACCGACTCGACTCTATTTTCTCTACCCTCCTTTCTGTAGGCGCTGGCTTTTCGTCCTCCATCCATTCATTCCCATTCCTTTCCTCGAGCCCGGCTGCAAGTCTGGTCATTTCATCACTTTTATTCTTGTCCACATCACACTTGCTTCCCACATCTGTTCCCAAAGTTGGAACTCGCGAAGCGAAGACAAACCGACCTCGAGACTGTCCTTTCTGACCCGCAACTCACACGCAAGCTTCCCACAGTCGAACGACCGTCCGAGGTTCCGACTCTAATTAACGCACGATTCTAACCCGAGAGAGGACCCGCGCCGAACGACGCAGGCTTAGGCAGTCTTTGGTATCTGGTCACCTCTGGTCACCTCGCCCTCGGCACACGCACATACGCAACACAGTCACAGTCTTCGCCGTCACAAGCAGGCAGATAAGGAAGAGCACGGATTCTTTGGTCTTGGTCTCGTTCTCGAAATAGTAGGACTGAACAGGAAGAGAGCCCAGACTTTGATAATACAGGACGGACTGGCTTCGGATCCCCCCCCCCCCCATTTTGGCGCCTAGTCCGACTTACATACATATTACTGCGGCCTCGTCCATCCACCCACCACCACCTCCACAGGAACCAGGACACACAGCCAAAAAGGGCCATCCCATCCTCCCCCCGACAACTTAATCCGTCTTTCGACGCACAACGTACACAAACCCGAAACACCATCCTACTTTTGGCATCTGCTTCTGCTGGCCAGGAACGAGAAAAGAGCAACTTTATCAAGTTACAACGTCGAGTTTATCCTACAGTTGGATAAACCCTCTTTTTCGCTTCTGTCTCCTCCCCGCCATCGCATCGGCGGTTCTTGCAGAAGCTTTCGGCAAATCGCCAGACGGGGCCAGGTATCGATCCCTGGTGTACCCGCCACGCGCCAAGATCTCCAGCTTGTCGCCCAAGTCCGAAGCGTACCCCATTTGCAGCTTCTGGCTCATTGGAAGCGGGGGTAACACTCCAACCGTCATTTCAGTGGCGCCGAGCACCGCACGGTCGACAGACCGCCAGCCATCTCCCTAAATAAGCCCTGAGGACCCTCTCTAGCCGCCCGCGGCGCACTTTGTTGTTGCTGTTCAGGTCTGGGTCGCTTTTTTGGCTTTCTTTCCTGCAGCAGTCGTCGTCGTCGTCGTTGTCTTCAGCCACCATTGTCCACGTCCGCATCGCAGTTCCCCACGATACCGTTTTCTCCCTTGAATCCTGTCCGTTAACGATCTTTCGACCGCAGCAGCAATCGTCTGCTTGCGCAATTCCTCGGCTCGCGCTTTGGATTTGGTATTTTGATAATTCTGGCCTGGCGACAAAATGTCATTGAAGCAGGTACGTGCCAGCGTCGGAGAGAGCGATCAGCAGTCGCCCAACCTGCAACACCCGACAACCCGAAATGGGTAGACCGTTGAACATGTTACTGACCACAACTGTCTCTTATTACAGGAAATAGAAACGTGGGTGTCGGCCTTGGGCCGGTACGACAACAATGAATTCGATGAGGCCCTCAAGGATTTTGAGAGGATCTCCGACACATCAAAAATTCTCTTCAACATGGGTGTTATTCACGCCACTTTGGGAGAGCACGAGAAAGCTGTGCGTCGTCTCCGAACCTAACACCGAGGTCTTGGCACTAACGTGGAAACACCAGGTCGAATGTTACCAACGAGCAATCAAGCTCGACCAGTACCTCGCTGTCGCCTACTTCCAGCAAGGCGTCTCAAATTTCCTGCTCGGCGATTTCGAAGAGGCATTGGCCAACTTCAATGACACTCTTCTCTACCTGCGAGGAAACACCATGATCGACTACGCCCAATTGGGTCTGCTCTTCAAGCTCTACTCTTGCGAGGTGCTCTTCAACAGAGGTCTCTGCTACATCTACCTGCAACAGAAAGATGCTGGTATGCAGGATCTATCGTACGCTGTCAAGGAGAAGGTGGTAGAGGACCACAACGTTATCGATGAGGCGATCCGTGAGGAGGCAGAGGTAAGGAAGACGCCGAGTTGAACTGTGTACAGTGCTCACAATTTCTCAAGGGATACACTGTTTTCTCGATCCCCGTCGGTGTTGTGTACCGACCGAACGAAGCAAAGGTTCGCAACCTCAAGACAAAGGACTACCTTGGAAAGGCTAGGCTAGTCGCCGCCTCCGATCGCGCGAACGCCTTCACAGGCTTTGCCGGGTCCGAGATCAAGAATGTAGGCAGATCGGTTCCCATTCCAATCAGCTTTTATGGGAATCCATTTGCTAATCACAGAATTCTTGATTTACAGGCCGGCAAGAACGACGTCAAGGACGACAGACCAGCTGACAATATTTCCTTCGCTGCAACCAACCTAGTCAAACCTGGCCTGGCCTCTAGAAGACAACAGTCTGAGCCGCCCAACGGCCGCGGTGTCTTCCCCCCTACCCCTCCCCCGGACCAGGTCGAGGCCAACAATACCGGTGCCATGTCTCGTGGACAATCCGTCCGTAATGGACCCAAGCCGATGCTGGCGAAGTTGAACATCGAGAACTCCAGGCCCAACGAACGGTACCAAAAGACGAGCAGCCCCAACGACCGTAGAGGACCTCCGCCCATGATGAGATCCGAGTCACGGTCGGCAACTCCTAGCAGAGGATATTCGAGACGCGACTTGCAGATGCGCGGCCGGCCTGCTGACGAAGATGCCGAGGACGCCTACCCTGATGAGCTTTACGACATGTACCAGAGCGGTGGTGGTGGTGGCAACAGTACAAGAACCAGCCGCCAAGCCTCCCGCCGCCAGCCCCAGCGATACATGGACGAGGAAGATGATGGCTCCGACTACGGCTCCTTTGATGAGGGTGACTTCGAGATGGTTTCCAACAACAGACGTCCAGGCACGAACTCAATGTCCTCTCGCGGCGGTTCAAGGAGACCTGAAGTCCGTAAGATCCGTGTCAAGGTGCACGCCGATGATGTTCGATACATCATGGTGGGCGCAGCAGTCGAGTTTCCCGACTTTGTTGACCGCATCCGTGAGAAGTTTGGTCTTCGACGAAGATTCAAGATCAAGATCCGCGACGAAGATGTGCCGAATGGCGACATGATTACCATGGGTGACCAAGATGACTTGGACATGGCGATCATGAGCGTCAAGAGCCAAGCAAGGAAAACGAGGCAGGACATCGGCAAGATGGAGGTAAGCATCACCCAGAACAATTGCACTATCATCAGGATGTATGACTAACTGAACGTATAGATCTGGGTCCAAGAAATTATGTAGACGATTATACCCCAACCAAGCCTGTGACGACGTAATGACCAACAATCTGCTCGCCCTGAGCTCTGCAACCTTTCCTTCATCTAGTAAACACCTTTCATATTATTTTTTGCTGCATTTACGGATGGATTGGTTGTAGACAGGGCGTCTAAAACGGCGGAAAGTAAAAGAGGAGGACAGTTCGAGAGACAGAGCCAAGCAGAGCTGGCTCAATGGCACCCCCACGGCCGCGAACGACATGATCATAGCGTTGCATTGTTTAGAAAACGGAACAGTTCGGAGGCAATTGGTGTGGTGATGACACTTTTGTATTCCCCTACGGTTTACCATCTCTCCTTTTCCGATATAATTTCTACCTCATCTACACTGTCGTGTTACGAGATCCTGTCCATCATCTACGAGATCGTTGAGAGGCCTGCAACACCAACCTTAATGCAACTATCATTGCTCATTACTTCTGTATATATGTGAACGACCTCGTGTGACTGTAAGCTTCCGTGAAGCTCTGGGACTCAGGGAAGAGGGTGGTGAATATCATCATCTACGTAAAGGGGTTACGTGAAGTAGATGCAAATGAGCTCAAATTGCTCACGACGTACCTCTCTATACTGCGTGACACTCTCCCTATGCGTATCAATCGCCAATGATGTCAACCCTTTCGGACTGTACAGTCCATGGCCAGATCCAATCGGGCCAGCTCACGTGGACATAGTAGAGTTGGGTCGAGCACCTGATTCGCGAAGCTTTGAGCATGGACAACAAAACCAGCAGGTATGGTAATCTTTCTTTTTCGATTTAAAGCCTAGGACGGGCAGAAAATATTACTTCCAGACGAAACAGCCGCGCAGTACACACCCACACACACTCTCTATCAACACACGCATATATCGTACAAAACCACAGTCATGCCAGAATCGTATAGACTTGGGGATTTAAGCTTCCCCGCGGCGCGCAACGACCAAAACCCCAGACTCCCCTCCCCCACAATAGGAGGAAGCACTTCTATTCTCCTACCCTGGCAGAGAAAGTTTAAAAGGATCCTTTGGTGCACACAGTCCAAGCATGGGAATGGAGGAATCTCTCCGATTGCTGAAGATTGCCCCTGTTTGCTGCCCCTTTTGGGAGCGAGAAGGTCCCCACCCACCATATTCTATTCTTTCACTAGGTAAATAGGCATTGCCATTCTCTCTCACTGCTCGAGGCAGAGCTCGAACCTAGCCATCGTCTCGGCCCGGCCCAAGAGCGCGAGCTGCAGCTTGGCAGGCTTGGCGCCGCGGTTGTGGTCGCCCGTGAGCACGAGCCGCAGCAGCGCGTAGGTGGCCTTGTTGACGGGCTTGGCGGGCTTCTCGGGGTCGACCGAGTCGGCGTTGCGGCTGGCGAAATCGTTGACGGCGGCCTGGAGCCTGTCCGGGTTCCAGTCGAGCTCGTGGACGTCGCGGAGGGAGGCGTGGAGGTCCTGGAGGAGGGCGTGGGGCGGCGCGGTGGTGTCTGGGAGGGAGAGGTTCTCGAGGGAGCGGGCGTAGGATTGCGGGGAGGGACGGAGGAAGAGGGAGGGGTGTTCGTGGACGAGGTCGACTGGGTCTATGGGGGAGTCGAGGGCTAGGGTGCGGTAGATGTCG